ATCCATTTCCTGCTGAAAATTTTTTTTCTCTATGAATATTAGAAAAATGTACAATAAGAGTGCCAAATTCAAATATTAAACATTATAGGAAAATACCAAAAGAACTACCAAACTAATTACATCCATTACAAATTTTGACTGAAAATTCCCTCAAGTTCACTGATTTAAACTTAATAATTGCTGCCGTTAAACTTTCTCGAATGTGTAATTCATTACTTATACATAAAAATAAAGAAAAACAGCATTTTCTTAAATTCATATAAACTTTGGAGTAATTAAATTATTCATATTGCATTTTTTCTAATTACATAAAAACAAAACACTACACCAAATTTTAAAAAGAGGCATCTTTCTTTTGAAAAACTTTGGACTTGTTATTTGCTACTATATAAATCATGAAGGGAAAAGGAAGACCTTAAAACATTTACCTTTTACAGAACATATAGCTCATTTTTAATTTAATGACCGTTTAGTACAATAAAAACTGTCTCCATGCACAATATGTTTGTTTGCAGATTTGTAGAAACAATTTGTTTTATAGTTCATAATGCTTTGATGTGAAGTACTTTTTCAATTTTAAAATAATTTTTAGGGCACATGCTTCCAGTTAAGCACTGGCATTATAATTTTATTTTAACATTACATACGAAGTATAAAATTTTACCTTTTTATCTTGGCCCAAAGAATTTTTTAAATTTTATTTATGTATTTTTTTAATACACTTAACTCCAGAGTACTATTAATCTTACGTTTATTTAAAAAAAATATTCAATTTTTGAATAAAATCTGGCATATGTATCTATATAAAATATAAAAAGCAATGTTTAAGTATGGCATATTTTATCTTGTTCGCTGTCAGAGTATACTACTGAGATGACTACTCATGATGCCACATTCCCCAATGTATAAGCTGTCTTCTGTTAAGAGATGACGTTGCTATAATCCTTTATGACCAAAATCTTGAGTTTTTGATAAGGAAATGTAAAAGAGGAAAAAATAATAGATCAATTTACTGAATTTTTCAAATACATCATTTAATTTTTAAATGAAGTAATTCTAAAATCATCAAATCCCATTGATATAGCAAATGTATGCCAAGAAAACACAGTTATTGCAAATATAATCCTCTAGTGGAAATTACACAACTTACTTTTTCCTTTACAAAACATGAAAAGCCCACTAGCGGCCGAGCGGTAAAGTCGCCGAACACTGGTAGTTCGGTCCGAGGTTCGAATCCTGCGAACGGGCTGGCTGCATGGGCGTTTTCGTGGTTTTTCCCATGTGTAACGTGTATACGAGCCAGTTTCCCTTAGAAAGTCCTCCACGAAGGCATCCCTCCCCTTAGGCAGATAGCCCTAGTGTGCTTTGCCATAATTAAGTAAACCAAACCAAACCAACCAAAAATGAAAATATGATTATTTTACAGGTTTAAGCATTTTGTAAGTTAGTTAAATTGATTTCACTCACATTTGACACAAATAATACCACACACTACATTCTTTTAGCATCAAAGAAAAATTTTACTGTAGCTAATTACATTACATTCAGTACTACTCCATTAAATAACTTATTTTTTCACACAACATTTAAAGCTGAAAAAACATGTTCAAAATTTTAGATGAAATATTGATATACACTTAAATGATCTGAAGCAGGGGCAGTCAACCTTTGTACACTTACCACCCACTTAGGCAATAACTCTTTTATACCGCCCACCTGTTCACAATAATTTAATATAGCTCAACTACAAAAAAAGTTTTTAAGTGAAGGTTTGGTAAAAATGAGTTCAATTTAAGCATTTTTTTATATTATAATTTACAATATTAAACTTTCAACAGAAAGAAAATTCATTAAAAACCGCAAAGGTGTATAAATATACAGAAACAGGAGAGGACTGAGCGAATGGGAATGGTAGAGAATTAAACTTTAAGGGGTGTGCACATATCAACACAACCATGCATATTTCGATCTCCCTTGATCATTATTAGACAAAAACCTCCACCACACAACATGAAAGCTTAAATCCACTAGTGGGTGGCAGGGTTTAGGTTGACTATCCCTGATCTGAAGTAATGACACAGTATATGCTGAAAGGATTTTAAACAAAATCATTCAAGTACATCCAGAGTGTAAATAACATGAAAACATACTGCAAAAGACCAAATGTAAAATGCAAATATCCTTGTTGATTACGGCTAGGGATAAACCTGATATACAAAGAAACTTGAGAAAACTGTTCATAAAGATGTGCATTTACATCCTTTTGTCTTTCAAACACATGACCATATAAATTAGATCGGCAGTTACTCATTTTTTAATGTGTGATTCCCATCTGAAATAGGCATGGCTATAGTGCCACATCAAGTTATTTTAATAATTTATGGATTTGTACTACTGCTGTTTACACCTTTACTACAGGAAACAGTTCAATGAGAATTTGGCTTTGAAAATAAACATAAAATTCATTAAACATGATAAAGTTATTTTACATTTTGTATTTATACATTCACTTAAGTTAGTTAAATTGATTTCACTCACATTTGTCACATATAATACCACACACCAAAGTCTTAACATCACAGAAAAATTTTACTGTAGCTAATTACATTACATTCACTACTACTCCATTAAATAACTTATTTTTTCACACAACATTTAAAGCTGAAAAAACGCGTTCGATTTTTTTTGGGGAGAAATGTTGATATACACTTAAATGATCTGAAGCAGGGGCAGTCAACCTTTTTACACTTACCACCGACTTGGGCAATAAAACTTTTATACCGCCCACCCGTTCACATTAATTTAATATAGCTCAACTACAAAAAAGTTTTTAAGTGAATGCAGAATTTAGTGAATAGTCAGGATTGTTTAATTACTGAACACAAAAAGGTCAATATTCGGTAAAAGATACTCTACAGACAATATCTCTTTTCAAAATAAGTCATTATAAACAATATTCTGCAAAAACTGTTTTAACCTTCCGGTATGCACGTATATGCAAAATTTACGATAAATTCAGTTTTTTAAGGACATTTTTCACATATCGAAGATAAGACGCCTGAAGGCCATTTCTATTCCTCCTTTCTACCCTTCCCCAGATCATGGAATGTGCAAACAGGAAGTCATTTGACCTTTTTTATTTTTAACTGAGCTTTTGTGCTACATGGCTGCTTTTTCATAAACACGATGCACGCGTGGTCGTGTTTTAAAATTCGGAAAATATTCTTTTTCCTCAAATATTTTATCATTTTATGTTATTAATTGCTGTGTATTATTTTAATTTGAATACATTTGGCTCTGTAAATTTTATATCGGTTTTCATGGCAAACAAAAATATGTGCAACCAGCTGAAATTGCTCGGATTCTTCAAGAATTATCTGAAGAAAAGGAAGACATGGAAACCTTTGCATGGAAGAACAATAGCAATTTCCATTCCCTATTTTCTTTCCATACCTTTTTTCTTTTGTTTAGAAATAAATAAAAACATTAAAGTTAGTTTAAAGTGCATTTCTGTTACCAGTAAAAAGTAAATTTCTTTGCAGAAGTAAGTAATGATAAACTGACTTTTTTCCCTACCAAGGTGTTTTCTTTTTTATCATCTATACTTGTCTTTGATGAATATTAAAATTAGCTTCGAATTTAAAACACAATTATTGAATAATAAATTAAAAATTTTCTATAATGAAATACATCATTACATTTCCTTGAATGTGATATCATTTGTATTTTGCAATAATAAGATTAATAGTTTATTTCTTAACAAATTTATTATCAATATTCACTCATTTCTGTCGTTTTTCATGCCAAAAACGGTAAAATAACTGATGTCGTAAAAAATACGATGTGCGCGTGCTCACGTAAAATTGCCAAGCACGTGTGCTGGAAGGTTAACACGTTGAGTGAGCGTGGTGCCGAGTTTGCTGTCCTTTCCGTTCAGCCGGCAGCGAGCTAGGCCGTATTTTTGTTTAGAATGTTTCAATACATTTGATTAAAATTAAATTTGATCACATTTCGTTGAGACTGCATTTATTTTTTTAACTTTAATACTGTCGGTTCTTCGGACCAACGCCAGCCAAACGAAATTTCCAGTGCCAGTCCCCAGGGACCAATGCTGGCCACACGGAAAGTTCACTGCCGGTCCCCAGGTACCGCCGCTGCAATCAACATGTTAATGAAGAAAAGGATTTTTGAAAGTAAGATTCACAAAAACTTGGACATAATCACAAATGTCCAGCAACAATCAATTAACAATTAGGTGCAGGACAAAGAGTAATCATAATATAATAAGTAAGAGTTTTTTTTTTTTTTTTTTTTTTTTACACGAGCAAATATTTTAAGGCAGATAAGTAAACTGAATTATTTCTGCAACAAAAAATACAGCAATTAAAATTCATGACTTTTTTTTTAGTTTAAACTTAAATGTAAACTGCATTCATTTTTCAACTTTAACCACTTGGGCTACGACTAAAACTTCATGGTTGTTGTGCCATGCGCTACAATATAACAAGCGGTAAAGTGCCTCATTTACGCCACTCCACATCTGCGAGTGCAATCCAGAACTGTAACTCGAGAAATAAACAATCTTGTTGTTAGGCGACGTGTGCACCACGTTACTTTCCTTTTTGCGATAAATGCCTATCGACGTGGTGTTTGCTTTGCTCGCGGTTTGAGACAAAAGCATCTCGATGTGTGTGGCACATCTTTTTAGCACAAGTGGTTAACTGAAGTATAATATATTTACTAATTTAAGAAATGGAACTTAAATAAAATTTTATATAATTCTTAAGGATCTTGCCTTTACAAAACCATTTCATTATGTTACACTTATTTACAGAACTAAAACTGTAGAAATTTACAGTATAATAGGTACAGACAAGCCCTTTTTAAAGATAGCATACATATCATCATCAAAAATCCTTCATCTTTTCCTTCAATAACAAATCTTAATTTAAATTTAGAAAAAATAATTTTAAGATGAAATTTTTTAGCAGCAGCATCAGTTTTTTTTTTTTTTTTAATCTTAAAACATTTACTGGGAGGAGGGAACTCGGCAGTAGAATTGTAAAATGCCCAGTCTTGAGATTGGGAGCAATATCTAAAATATTTACACAAGTATTGAAATCATGAATATTAAAATGTTTTAGGTTCACAGTACTATGCAAAGAAGAGTTTTGCTGTGAATTAAAAGAAAGCTTTTTTAATGCAAGATCTCTGGTTAATTATTATCTTAAAATGGGAAAAGACATGGCACCAACTAAATCCAAAATTTATGGGTGTGGATTATTTTAAATTCAATTATCCATAATTTTTTTTTCCAGTATCATGACTTTCAACCTAACATTTCACAGTAGCTTTCTCCTTTGAATACTATAATCAACAATTTATCATTTGATTATCTTAATTATCAATTTTTTGTCATCTAAGTTTTCTCACTTTGTTGAGAGACAATTAAAAAAGATGCGTACTCAGTCACAAATAATGAAACCAAAGAAATTTGTTCATCCATAACCATTCATAAAATGAAAAACAAACAAAATAAAAATCTACAAACTATTAAAACAGCTGTTAATACTACGTTAAAATAGGTACGAGATTAAATAATACATTTAACAAATTTCTGCTTGAAGAAATACAAACAAATAAAAATGGTTCTTCACAACTTATTTCAAATAAACACTTCCTACACATATATATACAATACACATACATAAGATATAAAATATGAATGAAAAAAAAAATCGCTTAACAAATCAAATTTAATTTGTTAACAATTTGCCGTCATTTTTTGTACCTTATATACATATAGCTGACAACCTTGAGGTATGAAAAACTAGGAGTTTGTGTTGCACGGTGATGGCCATCAAAAGAACTCCAAACTGACTTTAAACATTGGCCAAGTTTTCATATAAAGTTCTACAAAATGTCGACAGTACATTAAAAAATTCAGATCAAATAAATTAAAATACAAAAAAATTTGAGGAAAATCACTAGGGGGTTTGGAAATCAAACATGTACAAGTTAAGTTTCATTAGTTCAATGAATTAATTTATTGGAGGGAAATATTTTAAAATTTAAAATTGGGAAATCTGATAATTATCAAGAGAACCAGGACTCTCCTGGAAAAAAACAAGAGTTGGCAATTATCTCTCTATATGCATATAGAGAGAGCTATACATATAACAATCCAAGTGGAATTAACTTTTGATAACTAAATTATTCAACACGGATATTTTTTGTACAAAATTAAAATACGGCTAACAGAATACTTTTCATTTTGTTACCAAAAATGAAGACTAATTTTTATTTTTAGTAAGAGAAATAACTGATGAAAATGATTAAAATACTTAGAGATGATTTAGAAACAGATGAGGTACCAAAGGACTGGATTGTGGACCAAATTACATTGGTCCACATTCCAGTCAGATGACAATCCATGTTCAATAATAAGAATTGTATAAATGATTTGTAAATGATACTTCAATGGGCGATGTAAAAAACAAGGTTCATCTGCTTCAGAGATATATGTATATAAAGACACAGTCTGCAATGTGATTAATATTTTGCACCCAGATACACAGCACAAACATCATGATCAGAAAATCTGAGGAGCTTTGCATGTTTATAAGCTTCATTTGCTGCAGCAGCAAGGGGCATGGGTTGACCAAGAAAATGACCCATTGACATGGCTAAATTCAAATCTTTCTGCATATGCTTCAAAGGAGTATTAGGTGAAAAATCTCTGGCAACTATTGCATGACCTTTGTCTAGCACTGTTTGACAATTTAAGGTTCCCACTGAAAGAATTTCCATAAAATCTTCCTGTGAAAGTCTTGCTTTTTCTACTAAAGCCAGAGCTTCTGACAGTGCTACATATGTTGTTCCAAGAAACATGGTAAGAATAAGGTTCATCTTTGAGCTACTTGGGAAATCCTGTGATATATAATACACATGATTTGAGATTGCACGAAAGCATGTTTCACAATCTTTAAATAAAGATCTGCTACCAGAAGCTAGTATAAATAAAGTGCCTTCTTCAGCTTCTCTCTTTGAACCAATGACTGGGGCTTCAAGATACTTGCCCCTATTAGAGATTATTGCTTCAGCTATATCACAAGATGTGTCTGGATCAACAGAAGTCATTTCTACGTATCCTTTTCCACCTACATCGCAACACTCGAGTCCATGAAGGACTCCATCATTTCCAAATACCACTGATTTTGCAGCTTCTGGATCAGAAACACAGCAAAATATTATATCAGAAACTGCAACAACTTCAGCTGGAGTCATACATGTTTCTGCACCAACTTCTAGAAAACTTTCCACTATTCCTAGACTTCGATTCCAAACTGTTACTCTATGTCCCGATTTCAGCAAGTTCATTACTATTCCTTGGCCCATTAAACCCAGGCCAAGGAAACCAATTCTTTTACTTGTAGGTCGACCAATCTTTGGCTTCACGGATTCTTTGCACCTTTCAATATCATAAGGACTAGATGATCTGCTTGATCCAGAAGATGAAAAGCTTAACCATGTATCAACATCACTTGCAGAATATTCATCAGAAGTACAAGTAGTACTAGTACTAGTACTAGGCCTGCTTCTTTTAAAAAATACAGAAGAATCACTATCATCATCAGATTCAGGAATTGATGGACGCTTTTCGGGTGTTTTCTTCTGTACTTTGTTCTCTTTAACCTTTTTGGGAGGTTGAACTTTCTTCCCTATACTCTTTTTTGCATCATCATTAACAAGCTGAGGTGACTTGCTTTCAGGAAAATCTTTCTTGACCTGACTATTTGTCTGATCAACTTTATGTGCAGATTTGTTCTCTTTAACCTTTTTGGGAGGTTGAACTTTCTTCCCTATAATCTTTTCTGCATCATCATTAACACGCTGAGGTGACTTGCTTTCAGGAAAATCTTTCTTGACCTGACTATTTGTCTGATCAACTTTATGTGCAGATTTGTTCTCTTTAACCTTTTTGGGAGGTTGAACTTTCTTCCCTATACTCTTTTTTGCATCATCAACAAGCTGAGGTGACTTGCTTTCAGGAAAATCTTTCTCGGCCTGACTATTTGTCTGATCAACTTTATGTGCAGATTTGTTCTCTTTAACCTTTTTGGGAGGTTGAACTTTCTTCCCTATACTCTTTTTTGCATCATCATTAACAAGCTGAGGTGACTTGCTTTCAGGAAAATCTTTCTCGACCTGACTATTTGTCTGATCAACTTTATGTGCAGATGACTTCTCTTTCTTAGCATTGTTTCTATTGTAATTTAAAAGAGCTTCAATAGCTTTTTGCAGTGCAGCTGAACGTTTTTTACCACCATTCTCCAGCATACTGTTTGTATGAAGTACAATCTTATCATCCATTATCCAGGCATAATTATCGGAACCAAAAAAATACACATAATGTCCTTTCTTTGGCTTCCTTGATATTTCAGTTATTGGAGGTTCAATTATTCTGGCTGGCCATGATGGAAAGCCTTTCATTTTTGCCCAAACAAGATCGCCTACTTTGAGATTTTTTGCTGCCATTTTGAGATCTTGCTTCAGCTCTCCAAACAAATGCTACAAGCTAAACAAAGAAAAAGAAAAAGGACAAAGCATTAATAAATCTGTATAAAAGTTAACTTTCTATGCACTTAGTGAGAAAATACATTTATCATTATCACAAATGACTTTAGTCATAAAACATGGTTCGTACATATTTCTGCTCATAGAAATTAAGTACAGTACAAAGTCTGTAATCCAGAATGATCTATAATCCGGACCTCAAAGCCAGAAACTTTTTTTGTATGCTTTACGCACGCGCGTTTAATGTATAATGGACGTTATAAGCTAGGCTAAAATGATTTATACTTATTCTAAGGCATTTCAGTTAATGTCGCAGAGTGTGATGTTCCTTAATCTTCTAATTGGATCCGGCTTATATTATTTTTTGTAGACTGTTAGAGCATTTTTATAAAAATTAAGCTTGAACTTTCGTTTATGTCAAAAAGAGTTTCCAATTCTGGAGCTGCCAAAGGATCTACAAAGCGAAAGCATGTTTCGATAGCCATTAAATAAAAAGTGGGAGAAAGTGGAAAATAAAAGTGGAAAATGGAGAAAGGCATATCCGTCTCAAAATTATGCGAGGAGTATGACATTGGAAAGTCAACTGTATATGACATAAGCAAAAAGAAAAAGGAACTTTTTGAATTTTTTGTGGATCCCGACACCCCACTTGCAACGAATGACAGAAAAAGGTATTGTTATGCTAAAAGTGACGATCATGACAAAGTGATGATTGAATGTGTCAGACAGCGTCACAGCGAGGGTGTGCCATTGACGGGTCAAATGCTAATGGCAAGCCAAAATATTTCATGAAGAAATGAACTTAAACACTGAGTGCACATATTCAACACGTTGGTTAACCAAATTGTAAAATCGCCATGGTATAAGACAATTAAAAATTTCAGGTGAAAAAGCTTCAGCTAATACTGATGCTGCTGAACAATTTGCAGATGAATTCATTGAACTCATTACTAGTGAACAATTATCTCCACAACAAATTTACAACGCCGATGAAACTGGGCTTTTCTGGCAATATGTACCGTGAAATACCTTGGCAACCTCTACAAAAAAGGCTCCAACTGGTGTCAAAGATTCCAAAGCGAGACTAACAATTTTAGCACGCACAAATGCTGCAGGAACGCACAAGTGCAAACTTTTCGTAATCAGAAAACATGCATGACCTTAAGAATTAAAAGGATTAACGATATTTCCCGTTATACAGTCAAAAGTCGTTAATTCGGACACCCATAATTCGGAATTATCTATAATTCGGACTTCAAAGCTAAAAACTTTCTGCGCATGCGCCGCGTTGACACATGCGGCGTGCGCGTAAGACCTCTTACCACTGCGCATTTGCGTGTGCGCAAGCGCAGAATACGTTTTCGTGTGCGCGTTTTATGTATAACGGACGGACGTGTGTGTAAGCTAAATTAAAATTATCTAATTATCTATTTCAGTTAATGTTGATGATTGCGTTGTTCCCTAATTTTCGAATTGGATCCGGCTTATTATTTTTTGCAGACTAGAGCAATACTATAAAAGTAAACTTGAACTTTCGATTATGTCAAATAGAATTTTTGATTTCTGGAGCTCCCAAAGGATCGTACAAAACTAAAGTATGTTTCGATGTCCATCAACAAAAACTGGAATTGCTGCAAAAAATGGATAAAGACATGAAGAATGTGACAGAGAGGTTAGTGAAAACGAAAAAATTTCGATTGACAAGTTAGTCAGTATTCTCGGCACAGCAATTAACAGGACTTGAACAGCGGAACTTTGAAAGTGAACAAAAAATTATGTCTGTTTATAGAATTAAAGAGAAAGTATTATCACATAAAACGAAGCAACTTAAACAACTTACATTGAAAGAAATGTTTAATAAAGTAAACAAATAAATATTAAGCTCTTTTTGTAAATTTTGATACCCTTTAGATCATAATTGTTTTTTATTTCATAAATTACGGTTTCATATTTTTAATTTTAGAATTTGTGCATGCCATCTTACGTGATTTAAACTGATGACCTATAACCCGGAAAAATCGATAATCCGGAATCGCCGAAGTCCCGACGAGTCCGGATTAACGACTTTTGACTGTATATCGTGCAAATAAAAGAGCATGGATGACACAAGTGTTGATGAATGATTGGTTTGAAAATCATTTTATACCCCAAGGCTCGGTTACATTTGAATTAGGTTGGTTTACCTGATGACTCAAAAATAGTCCTGATTGTTGCCAACTGTTCGGCACATACTTAAAGTTTTAGTGAAAGATAATGTATCCATATTATTTCTTTCCTCCAAATTGTATGTCTATCATTCAGCCTATGGATATGAAATTAGTGCACACGTTGAAATGCAAATATAAAGTAGCATTTTTAAAATCTATGTTAAATTTCTTGAACAATGTCAAGACTATTCAAGACTTTTGAAATTTTTTAGCATAAAATCTGCTGTGTGGAGCATCGCAAGATTGTGGGAGGATGTGTCTCCAGATAAGTTAAGAAATGCTTGGCATAATTTATGGCCGTCTACCATATTTCATGGTGAGGACGATGAAGATGATAACCGCAAATTTAAAGGTTTTTAGACATTGCAGCCCCAATCAATTAACCGACGGCGGAATCTGTAGTATGGTTCTAGATCCAGAAAATACTGCTTTTGATAGTGAAGAAAGTGACAGAGAGGTTATTGAAAACGAAAAAATTTCAATTGACAAGTTAGTCGGTATTCTCGACACAGCAATTACAGGACTTGAGCAGTGGAACTTTGTAACTGAACAAGAAACTATGTTTATAGAATTAAAGAGAAAGTATTAACACAAAAAAATGAATCAACTTAAACAACTTTCATTGAAAGAAATGTTTAATAAAGTAAACAAATAAATATTAAGCTTTTTTTTGTAAATTTTGATACCCTTTAGATCATAACTGCTCTTATTTCATAAATTACGGTTTCGTATTTTTAATTGTATAATTTCTGCATGCAATCTTACCAGATTTAAATTGATGATCTAAAACCCTAATCCGGAATCGATGAAGTCCCGACGAGCCCAGATAACGGACTTTGTACTGTACTTTTCAAAGACCATCAATGCAGAATTAAGTACAACAAATGGTGATTGAATAAATTAAAGCAATTATGCTTGAAGTTCACTTTTAAAAAGCCATTCTAAGGATAAAACAGTTCTGTAATAAAAATACGTTATTATTAACTCTTTGCGGCACGGTGCGCCAGGCACACCTAAAAATTTCTTTCTGTATGCATAGAAAAATTGAATGAAAAAGGATTTGAAAGTTACTATAGGTTACTCTGAACCTTCTTTATTTATAGTACACTCGTGTCCATAAATTAAGGATGATGCAAAATCAGGCAAAGGAAGAGTTAGAAGCAAAACAAATTTGACTTATTTCTAAAGCTTATTTATTAAACAAAAGATAAAGAGCAATAAAAGATGTTATATGTTTGATATTATTAAAAAATTTAGTGATTTTTTCTCCCTTGAGCAAATTACCAAAAAAACCTATTTTCATAAAAACAATATTACATGGTTGTTATGATTGTTAATACACTGTATGTCTCCCAGACGATGCAATACAGTCCGTAGAACGCCTAGGCATGCTGAGTATCAAATTATTGATCTGATCTTGGGGGATATTACACCACTCAAAACGCAATGCTCTCCGAAGTTCCGGTAGACACGTAGGAGGAGGTTGACAGGCTGCAACTCGTCGGCCAAGCATGTCCCACACGTGCTCTACTGGATTTAAGTCCGATGAGAATGCTGGCCAGTCCATACGGGTGATATCCTCCGATTGAAGGCATCCGCTTACGACGTATGCGTGGTGAGTATGGGCGCCATCATCCATAAACACAAATTGTGCACCCATGGCACCCCGAAACAAACGTACACGTTGTTCCAGAATGACGGTCCCGATAGATTTGGCTTTTCATGGTTCCAATTTGAACATGCAGGTCAGTTCTGGAACCCAGAATAATTCCACCCCAAACGAGCACTCCTGCACCACCGTAACGGTGTTGTTCAATGATGTTTTCTTGGTGGTCACGGGTACCTAAACTCTCCATATGAAAGTCCAGCGAGAATCGGACTGCAAGCTAAACCTGGACTCATCGGAAAACATCACACAAGCCCACTGTTGCGGTGTCCACAATGCATGCTCTCTACTCCCGGCTAACCGCAGGCGACAGTGAGTTGCAGTAAGTGAAACGCATCTGACAGGTCTACGAGGATATAGACCAATCTGCCCTAAGCGTCTGTACACGGTCTGCCTTGAAATTGTCGTACCAGTGGCTGAAGAGAGCTGACGAGGCAGGTCTGAATTGTGCTCTGCCTGTTTCTTTTGGCAGAACTGCCAAATACCGGTCCTCATTTGGCGTTGTAACTCTGGGACGACCTGTGCTGCAACGTCTATTCACATTACCATCATCTTGGAATCATTGCCAAAGCCTGGAGATGACACTCTGGGCAATTCCAAGTTCGTCTGATACTTCCAGTTGGGTACACCACATTCCAGAGGGCCGATAATTCTACCATGTATAAAATCATCCAAATGCGTCCTTTGTGTCATAACTATTCGGTTATTGCACTCAAAATGCTTATAAAGCGCCTGCGAACAATTTTACTTCTTTGCCTGTATTTCTTATATATCACTCTTACACTTTCGTCATTGTGACGTACCATCGGTGTCATCTGGTTACTTCCTGAAATTTGCGTATGATTCTTGAATATAAGTGTGTAGTGGTTTTACAGGTGATATATTTATTTTAGAATTCGATTTCCGCGTGACTCCGAATTATCCTTAATTTATGGACATGAGTGTAAATGGCAGCTCAACAAAAACCAGTCCATATATTTTAGCAATGCTTAGTTTTTTAAGACCCTCATTTTTCAAAGAAATCTTCCAGATTTTTTTGGGGTATAAAAGGAAATTTCTACGTTATTTTTTTGGCTGTATGTTAATCTCCTTATTCTATATAAGTTTTAAATTTTTACCTTGAAATCT